GTCAGTATCACTGAACTTGGTTCAGTTGTTTGAAAATTCACTGTTGATGGTGTTAGATCTAGCATTATTCTCCTTAAAAAAAAAAAAAAAAGAGAATTATACATTTTGACCTGATATCCATTTATAAGGAATTATTTGGAACCATTATTCTCCTTAAAAAAAAAAAAGAGAATTATACATTTTGACCTGATATCCATTTATAAGGAATTATTTGGAAATCGTTTTTAGTATACGGTAAATATTTACTCTCCTTTCTTCTGTTCTTGGAAATCTTCACATGAAGAGCATTTAGATTTTGTGTGCTTTTGAATTTTTAGAACTTGAAAATTTCTTTCCAAAAAGTATTAATTTCTATAATGAAGTAGGTTGTTTTTATTTGACATTTCTGCCTGTTATCCAAAAGGAACTTATCTTAGTATATTAGAATTATTTTGTTGGAAAAACTGTAATAATTTTAATCTTCAAAATATTGAATATGGTGAATAGAAGATAAGCCAATACTGGAAAGAAGAGAAGAGTTTTAATTTTATTAAATGAAGAAAATTATAAAATAGATCAGTGTTTTTTTAATGAATAGAAAAGCCTAAGAACTATCTGAAAATATGCACTATTGTTTGTTAATAAGTCCTTTAAATTTGATTAAATGTACTTCATTATATGAGGTAAGACAAAAATAATTTTTATAGCTAATAAGGAATAGCCAATTTTCCCTAAAAAGAAAAAATACACCTCCTTCTACTTTTTAGTGCTTGTTATATAAAATAGATTTGATCGTACAAATCTTTACAAGAAGCTAAAAAAAATATTTATATATATTTAATAGCATATTAAGTTTAGGAATGAACACAAAAAGTTGTTGAACAAATCTGTTAAAATATAAAGGTTTACTTTTCAAGTGCATTTATTCCTTTGATAAGTCATGAGGGAAGCTTTGTTTTGACTCATTCTTTCTTAATAATAAGGGAAATACTTACAAGATAAAATTAATCCACACATGTTTATTGTACCATTTAAAAGGGAAATTTGTATTTATTGATCTGTTTATATCTATTGATATATGACATTCAGTTAAGGATGAGGTTAACCAGTTCCCCATTACAGACATGCACAATATTAAGATCAGAATATTAAATCATCAGAATTCAGAAGACAATTAATCTGATTCATGCCTCCCTGAAATTTTTTTAATGTACGTAGTGCACATTACCAAAGGTTTATTTTAAGTAAAAGAACACTATAGGCAGATGGAAGTTCACCTCTTGCCTCTCCTTCCTGTAGATCTCTTTAAAGAAGTGGCGGGACCGACAGAAATGTGTGACCAGCGGCAGCTGGGCCTGTTACTTCATGATGCCATCCAGATCCCGCGGCAGCTGGGGGAAGTCGCGGCTTTTGGAGGCAGTAATATTGAGCCTAGTGTTCGCAGCTGCTTCCAGCAGGTAAACACCCAGGATCACCGGTATGAAGCATGGGTTGGGGATGGATTTTGTGAATGTTTCGAGAAATGGAATAGGGAGCTTGGTTGGGCTGGAGCCAAATGGTGGAAGACTTGGGTGCCATCCCAGTAAGTTTGTGTGTTGTGTCTTCAGGCACATTTTATTCAAGGAACAGAGACCCCTGCAGGAGGCTTACTGTTTTCTTTGGGAAAAATTCTCAAATCTTTTGCGTGTGCTGTTAGATGGCTGTGTTTGGCCCTGTCTTTGCCCTGGCCTCATCTCTTGCCACTAGGTCCCTTGCTCTCTCCTTTTCAGTCGTTCTCTTTTAGTTCCTCAGTTCCTGCTTCAGGGCCTTTGGACATGGGCCCTCTGTTTAGAACACTTTTCCTTCCCCTCTACTAACAAACTCCCTTCTCATTGCTAATCTTTATCCAGTCGTTAGACTTTAGCTTATCTCTCGCATCCTCTGAAAATCCTTCTCTGACCTCTTCAGATGAGGTTGAGTTTCCCTACTGTATTCACCCAAATATCCTCTACCTCTTCCTTCTCATGCTCATTGCTAATTTGAGAAATAATCAAATTACTTTGTGTTACTTCTGCCAAGTCTGGTGTGAGGTAGATTAACCCTACCGCCCACGTTCACATGAGGAGAGCTGCTAAATTACATACCAGATTGTCTAATTGGTTATCTAGTGTTTGTTTCTTCTCAACCTGAGCTCCATGAAGACAAAGACTGTGTCTATCCTTTTACACATATATGTTGTATACTGTCTCAGTCTGTTCAGGCTGTTATAACAAAATACCATAAAGTGGGTAGCTTATAAACAACAGAAATTTATTACTTACCGTTTTGGAATCTGGGAAGTTCAAGAACAAGGTACTGGCAGATATAGTGTATGGCAAGGGCATACTTTCTGGTTCATAGACAGTGCCTCTTTGCTGTATCCTTGAATGGAGGAAGGGGCGAGTGAGGCTTCCTTGGGTTTCTTTTATAAGGGCACTAATCCTGTCCATGAAGGCATCACCCTCATGATCTAATCACTTCCCATGACCTAATCACTTCTTTATTTTTTTTGTCCTTTTTTTTTGAGACTGGCCGCACCACGCTCAGCCAGTGAGCGCTGTGAGCGCACCAGTCATCCCTATATAGGATCCGAACCCGTGGCGGGAGCGCTGCTGCGCTCCCAGTGCCGCACTCTCCCGAGTGCGCCATGGGCTCGGCCCTGACCTAATCACTTCTAACACCATATCCATGGGGGTTCGATTTCAACATATGAATTTGGGAGGGGGGAACATAAACATTCACACTATACCATATCCCTGTGCACAGTGCCTTGAACATCATAGCTGCTTTAATAAATATTTGCTAAATTAATGAGAAAAAGTGCTCTGAGTTCTTTGTAGGCAAAATTTTTAAAAAATATAAATTAAAGATATTATTAAAATAGCAGTCTTTTCTTGCAAAAGGAGGATAACGTATGTACAAAGTTTACACTGACCAAAGTTTCTAATTTTTGACTGGGAAATCATTTTAGTTTCTTTGTAATTCTTACTGTGTTTAAAGGCATTTTAGAAATATGACTACTGATGCTATATATATGCATAAACTACAAGCCTATGGATACTTTGCCAAAGCTAGCCAATGATTTATCATTACTGAGGGGAAAAAATGCCTCATACCATATCTTTGAGGAGAATTATAGTGGCCCTTTTATTTTAGAAATATAAAAAATACAAAACAAAAATTCTAAATTTATGGTCACATGTGTTGGTTCATAGAATTACCTCAACAACAGCAGGAGAATGATGTTGGTATAAATTTAACTTTGCACATATGAAAATTACTTAGGATTTGAAGAGGGACTGAGAAATTTCATATAATTTATCATAAGTTTGGAAATCCTGCAAAGTACATTCATAGCAATATGCCTCCAGTGTGATGATGTGATGGGGCTGAAACAGGACACAGAAATCACAGCTTATATTTAGCATTTATAATGGCCTTCAAATTTGTGAAATTATTAGTGAGTCTTTCACAAATTTTTATTTTTAGCATTTATAATGGCCTTCAAATTTGTGAAATTATTAGTGAGTCTTTCACAAATTTTTACTTTTGCAGATGAATGAGTTTTATGGAATTAAAGTATTTATGTGGAAAGATTACCTAGAATTGTGTGGTTTTGGTTTTTACTTTTGTTTTTTTAAATCTGAATGTATTAAGGTATTGGGATATGTTTTCTTCTTCCTATGTGACAATTTCTGCTTTTTAAATTTTTAAAGTCTAGAATTTTCTTGCCTTGAAGGAACCGTAAAGCTTTTGTGATTTAACTGACCTGGAAAGCGTTATATAACTTTCCTCTTATATCTGCACAGATATCTCAGAAAACTGTGAAGCAAGAACATTTGCTGTAGTGTTAATGAAGAAATTTTGTCCACTTTTAATGTATTTGTTTCTTCACCAGAATAACAACAAGCCAGAGATAAGTGTGAAAGAGTTTATAGATTGGATGCATTTGGAACCACAGTCCATGGTTTGGCTGCCGGTTTTACATCGAGTGGCAGCAGCTGAGACTGCAAAACATCAGGCCAAATGCAACATCTGTAAAGAATGTCCAATTGTTGGATTCAGGTATGATGTGCTACGAGTGGTGGAAGCAGACTGTTTTCCGTTCCATTTGTGTAATCTCAGTGCTATGCCCACCATCCCTTTCCACTTACTCCCATTTGAGATTTGCCTCCTAAATAGATGGGATGCTCAGCATAAGTGATCTATCTAAAACTGGCATTTCTTCTTACTACCACTACATGAGGCTTATTTTATGATTACTGCTGCTGTTATTTATACTACTATGGTCCAGAACCAGAGATTTTATGAATTTCTACATACTTAGGTCACAGAAATGTTCATTTGTGATGCTTGCATGACTGATTAGAAACAGGCAGCCCTGATGGAATTTGGTGGATGTTCTGAGGTCTTTGGGGTCAAACTTAGGAAGCAGGAAGCAATATTTAAATACTGAGAAATAATCAAATTACTTTGTGTTACTTCTGTCAAGTCTGGTGTGAGGTAGATTAACCCTACCGCCCACGTTCACATGAGGAGAGCTGCTAAATGCCATACTTTAGTGTCATTGGTATGTCAGACTCATCAGTTTGTGAGTCCAGAGCAATCTGTGCATATCTTGGCTATTTGTAAAGAGAGCTGTGATAAACATGGGAGTGCAGGTGTCTCTTCGACATGATGATTTCCAGTCCTCTGGATATATACCCAGAAGAGGGATTGCTGGGTCATATGGAAGATCTATCTGTAGTTGTTTGAGAAACGTCCAAATTGTTTTCCAAATTTATGTTGAGTGAAACAAGCAAAGCACAGAGGGATGAATACCGCATGTGCTCACTCATATGTGGGAGCTAAGAGAGAAAGAAGGAAGGAAAGAAAGACCACAGTAGTGCCGTGATCCAACAGAGGGAGGGAGCATTCTTAGGGCTACAAATAGGAGTGGAGGGGAGAAGGGGAAGGGGAGAGAGGTTGGGGGATAATTGGGAGGGGACAAAGGGTACAAAAGTAATTTCTGGTAATGGGTATGCCCCCAGTGTGAATCTGGCTCTCACATCATGGGCGGGAGGGGGGACAATCAGCTTTGTATCTAATGAATATTTGTAATAAATAAATAATTTTTTTTAAAAAAAAAAGCAATCTGTGCAGGGTCCCAAAATGAAGTGTCTTGGCCATCTTGGTTCTTTGACATTCTTCTCTTAAGGTAACTATGCATTCCACCTCTTAGAATATACTGTGTTTCTCTTCTGGAAAGAATCTGGAAAATAGTCCCAGTTTAATTTGGAAATCTGTTGTGAAACAACGTAAGCCTGCTCGGCAGGGGAATCAAGGTTTCCTACATACATTTCATTCATAACGGAAGAGGAATTAGCTAAGATGGCAATTCCCTGATAGAGAATCAAATCAGGAGGGCTGAGATGGGTGGTGGTTGTATGTAGTATCAGTACCAGTGTCTTGAATTAAACAAAATTGCTTTTGTTTGACTGACTTTATCAGGATAATAGTTTGTATGAAGCATGTCAGTTCAGTTTTTGTTGGTGGCTAATGTAAAAAATAGAACTCAGATTTTCTGTTCTCCCTTACATTGTGGTGTCGTGGGGGAGATTTTCTAAAGTGTTTTAAGTTCAGAGGGTCTTGCAGCTGTGTTCTAAGAGGATGGAAAGGCCAACAGTGTACATAAAGCAGCATCGGCATATGCCTAAGAGACAGCCAAGATAGTGGATGCCCCAGTGGAAGTCAAAGGGTGAACGCTGGAAGGAGGATGATGGGAAAGACACAGTTTAAATGCAGGAAGTTTCTTGGAATAGTTACGTTTTAAGTACCTGGTGGACATAGATGCACAGGAGAGGAAATAGCTGGAATGTGGCAAGCTCAGGATACTAGTGGAAAGATAATACAAGTGACAGATATCATCAGAGCTAGTAATCATTGCCATTTACTGAGTGTTTACTATATGCCAGGCACTGTGCTAAAATGAGTGGCATTTGTTATTTCGTTGACTCGTCATAAAGCTCTATAAGATTAGGAGTATTACCTCTAGTTCTCACGTGAGGGAACTAAGACTTAGAGATTAGGCAACTTGCCCAAGGCCAGGTATTCAATGAACAGAGACAAAGTTGAGATTCAAATCCAGATCTTTTTGACTCTGAAGTTTGTGCTCTTAATCAATGTGCTATTTTTAAAAAGTAGATTAGATTTTTAGGAGAGGAGAGATTTGGCATAATGAAGTAATTAAGTGATACTGAAAAGAACAATTGATTTAGGACCTTGATTATTAGACCAAAAATATTACACTGGATATAAAATGTAATGTGAAGCCACAGGAAATATCCAGATTAATTGACTTTGGAAGAGAATGGCTTACATAAAATTTGCCATATATAAGGCTATGAGATGCCACGAGGGACCAGATTTCTCAAAGGGTGTGAAGGACAGGACAAAAGACTGTAAAAAATGTTAGCATTTTATTGACTTTTAAAGCTTTATTTTTTAAGTAAAAATGACCTGAAGCAATGGTAGCAAAATATTAAGACGTAACAGGTAAGCGTGGGTACATGTATGTTTATTATATTGTTCTTGCTACTTTTAAATAAACTTGAAATATTTCATAAGAGAAATAATGATAGAGCAGTTATAAAGGGTGAACAATGTTAAATGGTAAATTTCAGGTGTTAAGTTTTTGGCATTAATATAAAATTCACATGTAGATGTATTTATGATAAAGATGTTGTAGAGCTAGGGCTGGGTTTGGAACTCACAGACCCCATGTTATTTATACTACTGTAGTCTAGAACCAAGAAGAACCCTCAAGCCCATTGTCCAGACTGGGTCACAAACCCTTCACGTGCAGGTCTACAAGCTAGGTAACTGGAAAAAAGGGTCCTTGGAGCCTTGGTTGAAGAAAGAGTAGACTTTATTCAGCACACACATATATAAAAGCTAGGCAGTCTTTGGAAGAGAATGGCTTACATAAAATTTGCCATATATAAGGCTATGAGATGCCACGAGGGACCAGATTTCTCAAAGGGTGTGAAGTACAGGACAAAAGACTGTAAAAAAATTTTAGCATTTTATTGACTTTTAAAGCTTTATTTTTTAAGTAAAAATGACCTGAAGCAATGGTAGCAAAATATTAAGACGTAACAGCTAAGCGTGGGTACATGTATGTTTATTATATTGTTCTTGCTACTTTTAAATAAACTTGAAATATTTCATAAGAGAAATAATGATAGAGCAGTTATAAAGGGTGAACAATGTTAAATGGTAAATTTCAGGTGTTAAGTTTTTGGCATTAATATAAAATTCACATGTAGATGTATTTATGATAAAGATGTTGTAGAGCTAGGGCTGGGTTTGGAACTCACAGACCCCATGTTATTTATACTACTGTAGTCTAGAACCAAGAAGAACCCTCAAGCCCATTGTCCAGACTGGGTCACAAACCCTTCACGTGCAGGTCTACAAGCTAGGTAACTGGAAAAAAGGGTCCTTGGAGCCTTGGTTGAAGAAAGAGTAGACTTTATTCAGCACACACATGTATAAAAGCTAGGCAGTACAAAGAGAAACTCCACTGCTACCAGCAAAGTCCAAAGAAAAACTGAGCAGCTGCCAGCAAAGTAAACATGCTCTATTTTTAGACGTGAGCTCTGCCAGCCAGCCACTGCTTCACAAACTGAAGAACACACAATAGCAACAAACTAAAAAAGATACATGGAGGTGCATTTGCACTAACTCCACCCACACGCAACTTGTTTACAAAGAATGTGCTGCACCACCCCTGACAGGACCTGAGGTGAGGGGGCCGGACTAAACTACTCCATTTTCCTCATAGATGTGAAGTTGACCAGTTGGTCAGAGAACATGGTTACAGCAGGATATGGAAGAGACAGTGTATTGGGAACTAACTCTGGAATCAAGCTGCTTAGATTTGAATCTTATATCTTCTATTTGGCTCTGTGACTTTGAAGAAGTTATTTGGCCTTCCTGAACCTCAGTTTCTTCAACTTCAAACTCTACGAGTATCTCCTTATAGGAATAGTTGATATGTGAAAAGTATCTAGGACAATACCTATCACAAACAGAGCAGGCATTCAATTCTCTTTATTATCATCAATAACATCATTAGTGGGATAGTGACTGTGCCTACAAGTGTCATTGAACTTTTCCATTAGGTAGAAATTCCAGAAAAACTGGACAGTGATATTGCTCAGTGGAAGGCAGGATTGAAGGTATATAAGGGAGAGGAAGATGAGCAGGATTTTATTATTATTTTTACTATTATTGAAACATAGTTGATTTATATATATTCATGGGTACAGAGTTGAATATCAATACCTGTGTACAGTGTGTGATGCTCAAGTGCTCAAGTCAGGATAATTAGCATATTCATCATTACAAAATGTAATCATTTCTTTGTGTTGAGGATGTTTGATTTCCACTCTTCTAGTCATTTGATAAAATGCATTAAATTATCATTAATTATAGGTGCCTAGCTTGACTCTACATTAGTAGAACTTATTTTTCCTAACTAGCTCTTTTGTGTCCATTAATCCTTTTCTTGGTACTCCCCACCTTGCTCTCCCCCTTTCCCAGCTCTAGAAGCTATAGTTTTGTTCTCTCCTTCTGAAAGTTCCATGTAAGATTAAGATTGGTTTTTTTGCTTTTCTTTCCTCCCCTTCCCCTTCCCCCTCCTCCCTTCCTTTCTTTCCTTCCTTTCTTCTTTCTTTATTTTTTAGCTCCCACTTATGAATAAGGACATGTGGTATTTCTCTTTGAGTCTGGCTTGTTCCACTTAGCATAATTTTCTCCAAGCTCATCTGTGTTGCTGCAAATGACAGAATTTCATTGTTTTTTGTGGCTGAGTGGTATTCCATAGTGTATATATACCACATTTTCCTTACCCAGTTGTCCATTAATGGATTTTTAGGTTGGTTTCTACTCTTGGCTATTGTAAATAGAATTGCAATAAACATGGGAAAGCATATGAAGGTTTCTCTTCAACATGATGATTTCCATTCCTTTGGGTATATACCCAGCAGTGGGATTGCTGGGTGGTATGGAAGTTCTATCTGTAGTTGTCTGAGAAACTTCCATACTGTTTTGCATAATGGCTGTACTAATTTACAGTCCCACCAGTAGTGTAGGAAGGTTCCCCTTTCTCCACATCCTCACCAGCATTTGTTATTCTTTTTTTGATAATAGCCAGTCTTACTGGGGTGAGATATCTCAGTATGGTTTTGATTTGAATTTCCCTGATGATTAGTGATGTAGATCAGTTTTTCATGGACCTGTTGGCCATTTGTATGCCTTCCTTTGAGAAATGTCTATTCAGCTCCTTTGCTCATTTTTTAATCTGTTAAATTGTGAGTTCCTCGTATATTCTGGATATTAATCCCTTGTCAGATGTATAGTTTGAAAATATTTTCTCCCATTCTGTAGGTTGTCTTTGCACTCTGTTGATTATTTCCTCTGCTGGGCAGAAGTTTTTAGTTTGATATAATCCAATTTGTTTACTTTTTCTTTTGTTACCTGTACTTTTGGGATCTTATTCATAAAGTCTTTCCCCAGTCCTACATCCGGAAGTGTTTCCCCTGTTTTCTTCTGGGAGTTCTATGGTTTCAGGTCTTACATTTAAGTCTTTAATCTATTTTGAGTTGATTTTGGTATATGGCAATAGGCAAGGGTCTAGTTTCTTCTATATGTGGATATCCAATTTCCATTTATAAAAGAGGCTGTCCATTCCCCAATGTATGTTCTTGGTGCTTCTGTTGAAGATCAGTTGGCTGTAAGTACATGGATTGATTTTGGGGTTCTCTATTCTGTTCTGTTGATCCATGGTCTGTTTTTATGCTGTTTTGGTGACTATAGCTTTGCAGTATAATTTGAAGTCAGGTAGTCTAATGCCTCTGGCTTTATTTATTTTCTTGCTCAGGATTGCTTTGGCTATTCATGGTCTTTTATTGTTCCATATGAATGTTAGGGTTGTTTTTTCTATTTCTTTGAAGAATGTCATTGATATTTTAATGGAGATTGCATTGAACCTGTAGATTGCTTTGGGTAGAATGGACATTTTCACAACATTAATTCTACCAATCCATGAGCATGGAATGTTTCTCAATTTTTTTGTGTTCTCTTTAATTTTCTTCATCAGTATTTTGTAGTTTTCATTGTAGAGATCTTTCACCTCCTTGGTTAAATTTATCCCTAGGTGTTTTATTTTTTTGGCAGCTATAGTAAATGAGCTTGTTATATCCTCTTGCTGGATAGATCACTTTATTATATAATGACCTCCTTTGTCTCTTTTTATAGTTTTTTGGCTTGAAGTCTATTTTATCTGATATAAGAATAACTACTCCTGCTTGTTTTTGGTTTCCATTTGTGTGGTATATCTTTTTCCATCCCTTCACTTTTATTCTGTGTGAGTCTTTACAGGTCAAGTGAGTTTCTTATAGGCAGCATATAGTTGGGCCTAATTTGTTAAGCCATTCTGCCAGTCTTTGTTTTTTGAGTAGGAAATTCAGTCTATTTATATTAGGGTTATTATTAAAAGGTATTTTCTTACTTCTGGCACTTTACTGATTTTTGCATGGTTGTTTTGAATGGCTTGTTCCTTTCTTTCCTTTTTATTGTTCGTCTTTGGTGTTTGCCATTTTTTGTAGCGGTGAGATTTAGTTTCTTTCTCTTTCTCATTTACATATCTGCTCTACCTGCAGGTTTTATTCTTTCTTGTGTATTCATGATGATAGTTATTGTTTCTTGGATTCCTGATGTAGAACTCCCTTGAGGATTTCTTATATGGCTGTGTGATGGTGAACTTCCGGAATATTTGTTTGTCTGGGAAATACACTATTTCTTCTTCATTTCTAAAGGATAGCCTTACTGCGTATACTGTTCTTGACCAATACTTTTTTCTATTAGTACTTTGAATATATCATCCCATTCTCTTCTGGTACGTAATGTTCTATTTGTTTGTCTGGGAAATACACTATTTCTTCTTCATTTCTAAAGGATAGCCTTACTGCGTATACTGTTCTTGGCCGATACTTTTTTCTATTAGTACTTTGAATATATCATCCCATTCTCTTCTGGTACGTAATGTTCTGCTGAAAAATCTGCTGTTAGTCTGATGGGGACTCCCTTATAGGTGACTTGATGCTTTTATCTGGCTGTTTTAAGGATTTTCTCTTTGTCTTTGACTTTTGAGAGTTTGACTACAATGTATCTCAGAGAAGGCCTTTTTGTATTATTCCATCTGGGCATCTGTGAGCCTCTTAGATCTAGAAGTCCATATGTCTCCCAATACCTGGGAAGTTTTCTGTTATTATTTCACTGAATAGGATTTCAGTGACTCTTCCTTTCTCCTCCGCTTCCAGAACACCCATAAGTTGGATATTTGTATGCTTAAAGCTGTCTGATAGCTCTTGTAGATTTTCATCATTTTTTAAAATTCTTTTTTTCTTTTTTTTTGCCCACCTGGGTATTTCAAAAAGATTGTCTTCAAGATCAGAAATTCTTCTTCTGCTTGCTCTAGCCTGTTGCTTAAGCTCTTGGTTGTATTTTATATTTTGTTGAATGAATCCTTCAGTTCCATGAGTTCTGCTACATTCTCCTTAAAAGTATCTATCTCTTTGTAAAATTCCTACTTCAGATCCCGGATTGTTTTTCTCATTTCATTGTGTTGTCTATCTGAGTTTTCTTGTATCTTATGAAGTTTCCATAATATTGTTGCTTGGAATTCCTTTTCAGTCATTTAAAAAGTTTCCTGCTATTTGGGGTCTGTTACTAGAGAATTATTGTATTCCTTTGGGGGTGTCATATTTTCTTGTTTTTTCATATTTCTGGCATTTCTACATTGATGTCTGGACATCTGTTGAAGCAATTGCTTCTTCTGTTGTTCTGGAGTGGCTTTTGAGGAAGGAGATGTGTTTTATATTGACTGCTGGATAGGGTGTTTTAGTTTTGGTTACAGGTAGAAGCAGTAGTGTAGTCTCCGTGTGGTTACTTTGACCATATTCAGTGTCTGAGCTGTCTGTGAGTGCCTCCATAACCTAAGCACTGAGGCACTCAGTGGCTTCATGCTGAAGTGAGTGACATGGTGTTGAGTTGTTGATGTCATGGGCAAGATCTCCAGCTCTTGGTAAAAGTGCCTGTGTGCCCTATCACTCCTTGGCTGATGTGGGTGACCCCGGGTGGACTTACTAACACCCTGACTAATACCCCATGATAGGTGCGCTAGAATGTACAGAAGCTCCTCAGGTTGAATGGATAAACTTGGGTGGGGTTTCTCTCTCCACTTTATTTCAGACAGAGACTCCTGGGTCTTTGCTTCTTCCAATTGGGGGATGGGATGGTGGTGGTTGGGAATTTCCTTCCATACTCTATTTAGCTATCCTGAGTTTCTGCACTCACCAACAGCTCTGAATGTCTTTCCCTGGGTCAGTGCAGTCACATGGGCTCTGCTAGTATTTTCCACTGCCAGGTGCAAGGCCACAGAGGTAGCACAAATTCCACTGTGGGTTAGGCTGCTCGTTTTTGGGACTGTGCTTGTTCACCTCTTTCCTCTATCCTCCTGCCTAGTAAAACACAGAAACACATGGTTCTGATCAAGTTGGAGTTGCTGGCACCTGGGCTGGGTGTTAGTGGGGAGCAGGATGGACTGCTGTGTGGGGAGATGGCCATAGCAGCATTAGCCCTCTGGGTCCTTTTGGCAGTGGTGGCAGTGGGCCAGGGCACAAGCAAGAGAAGGATTACTGCTACTAAGTGCTCATTGCCAAGCAGTTTCTTTTAGCCGCAAGGGAAAATTTCTCTTGCACTGATCCTGGTGTCAGAGACATGGCAGCTGAAGCCATGTGCCTGTTTCTCCTCTCTATGCCACCATCGTAGGCTTCTCACCAGTCTCCTGCTGCACTCCTATGCTCTCCCACCAATGCTCTTGTCAATATTTAGCTGTCTATTCATTGTTCTGGTCTTTTTCTGTTGGAGGAATGTGCCCTGAGCACCTTTGGTCTGGCATCTGCCCATCTACAAGCAGGAATCTTAAGAGTAAAGAAGCATAATGTTCTGGAAATCAAAGAGGAGGCTTTAGAAAGGTGGTACAGGTGTTTGTTAAGTGCAACAGAGAGATTCTAAAGATCACATGTGAGAACAGACCTTTGAAACAGGAGAATTCACTGGAAATCTTAGATTTCTTTCCATGTCAGGATAAGGGTGGAAGGCAGATCGCAGGTTCAGGAAAATAAGTAGATGGTAGGTGATATATTATGTTCATTTTACTTACGTGTATACTTTCCCAGTTTTCTATATTGAGAATATAGTACATTTAAAATTTTAAATTTCTGAATAAAAGAGAAAGATGTCTAGAATTGCTACCTGATTTAGGAAAAAGACCAAGCAAAAGTTTCTTCAAACTAATGGTGACTTAATTATTGCACAAAGATTATGCGTGAAGGGAATGAGTATGAGAACAATTAAAGAAGTAGAATGGGGCCAAGGCAGAACAGATCTGATTAGCTCTTAGTTGTAAAGAGATACCACTTTCTCTAAGGGTTCAAGGAAGAATAAAAAGCCAAGTACACAAATAAAATAAGAGGAGTATCTGCATTAGATGAAGGGAGTGAGTATGAGAACAATTAAAGAAGTAGAATGGGGCCAAGGCAGAACAGATCTGATTAGCTCTTAGTTGTAAAGAGATACCACTTTCTCTGAGGGTTCAAGGAAGAATAAAAAGCCAAGTACACAAATAAAATAAGAGGAGTATCTGCATTATAAAATAAACTATACTTCATCCAGGCTGTCTCTGTATCAAGCTACTACTCCAGATATACACATATTTGTTTTCTGTGAATTTTTTCACTAATTACTTCCAAATTAAATTTTAATGAAATCTTATATTTGCAGAATGTTTTGTAAGCTGGGAATTGTTTCTTTTAGAATCACATACAGCTGCTTAAAAGTAAAATGCATAAATCAGATTTATTTTCCTTTCCTGTAAACAAAGTGTGGAGGTAGGCAACACAAGATTGTTATGGTTGCTCCATGGTCACCTCATTTCTAGTTCTGTCTTTATGTACATTTCTAACATGTACTTCCATCTTCAAGGTCACCTCACAGTTAACAAGGCTCTTCTGGATGTCAGGTCCACTTTCCAAGAAAAAGGAAGAGGGAGCATGCTTCTTCCCAGCTGAGTCAGTCTTTTGAAATCCCAACTAGAAACCCCACCGAATAGTTTCAACTTGTATCGTGCTAGTCACCACCATCAGCAAGAAAAACTAAGAAATATTGTTTTTAGCAAGGCATATTGCTAGAATGTGCTAGTAGTACAAGGATCTTTTACCAATGAAAACAGGGTGAATTACTACCTGCCACAGGAATATTCAGCAATGAGCAAAACTCCATTTAGAAGAGGAGATGTCAATCATATTCACCAAGCCATGCTGATAGGTTAAGAAATATTGTTACTGTAGGTAATTGTTTCAAACCAGGTAGCTTCCTTGACAAAGTAAGCTGGCTATAGTATACCCAGATTGATTTCCTTCAAATCAATTTGCAAGTAACTTTGCACATTGTTGTAGAAACTACTCAGCACTTAATAGTTTATAATATTAACCTTTACATAACCTTTAAATTTTGTTTCCAGTTTCATTCTGTGAGTCTTATCATTTATTTATTTTTTCTGTAGATATGGATATAATTTATGTTCTTAGTTCCACCAGCCATGCTGGCAGAATGGAAGATTTGGGAGAAGATATTTTCCACTCAGACTCATAGAAACTTAGTATATAGAGTTTTGCTCTTCTAAATAAGATTCTGCAAATGAAGTTAATGTACAGTGTCATTCTTATGCAAGTGATTTAAAAACATTATTTTATTTCCAGAATGCACTGTGATCAGGTTTTATTTAGTTTGTTTTTCATTGTAGGTTATTTCTTGTTTTTAATTTCTTTTCTAATGACTAGTTAAAACCAAATGTAAAACTCTCATTGTAAAAAACAGTGCCTTTGTGAGGGAATTTTGAGATTCATTTCTTATTGATGATATAATTGGTATTTTAAAATTTGGTGTATCAAGCTAATAAACATAAGCATCTTTTCTTCTCTACCATTTTCTATTCAAACATTACAAAAACTTTTCAGATGTGTATATTTGTCCTCTCATCATGTCTAAACAGATGGAAACATGTTTGAGAGATTTTAACTTTAAAATTTTACTTTTTTTTCCTTTTCATTGGACAGGTGGTTTTCTCTTTGTCCTAATTTGGACCAGGATACTAAGCAAATTCCACATTTGTGGCAAATCTACTTTTTATTTTCTTGGTGATTTGGATGAATGAGATTTCTTACCACAAATAATTGATTAAAACTAAATAATAGGATTGCAAGGCAATGAATTCTTTTTTTTTTCCCCTTCTCTATATTTAATTGAGTGAATTACTGTAATTTACTTAACCATTTTCTGAAATTTGGACATTTAGTTTATTTTCAATTTTCTGATAATATTTAATTGAGTGAATTACTGTAATTTACTTAACCATTTTCTGAAATTTGGACATTTAGTTTATTTTCAATTTTCTGATAATATTTAATTGAGTGAATTACTGTAATTTACTTAACCATTTTCTGAAATTTGGACATTTAGTTTATTTTCAATTTTCTGATAATATTTAATTGAGTGAATTACTGTAATTTACTTAACCATTTTCTGAAATTTGGACATTTAGTTTATTTTCAATTTTCTGATAATATTTAATTGAGTGAATTACTGTAATTTACTTAACCATTTTCTGAAATTTGGACATTTAGTTTATTTTCAATTTTCTGATAATATTTAATTGAGTGAATTACTGTAATTTACTTAACCATTTTCTGAAATTTGGACATTTAGTTTATTTTCAATTTTCTGATAATATTTAATTGAGTGAATTACTGTAATTTACTTAACCATTTTCTGAAATTTGGACATTTAGTTTATTTTCAATTTTCTGATAATATTTAATTGAGTGAATTACTGTAATTTACTTAACCATTTTCTGAAATTTGGACATTTAGTTTATTTTCAATTTTCTGATATTATAAACAACATATTTACAAATATCTTCGTGAAGATAGCTCTTTCCATATATCACATAAATTACATTTCCATAGACTAAAGCACTACGAGAGGATGAGTTAATGAATATGAGTATTTTTATAGCCAAAATACTTGAATGAAGATAGCTCTTTCCATATATCACATAAATTACATTTCCATAAACTAAAGCACTACGAGAGGATGAGTTAATGAATATGAGTATTTTTATAGCCAAAATACTTGATGCCAAGTTATTTTCCAAAAGAGGTCTATCCCACTTTACATTATTATGACACTGTGTTAATGCCCCAATTTCATTACAGCTCCACTAAAATATTGGCTTTTGTTGTTCCTTTGATCTGAAGCTGTTTTTTTCTAAAATTATTCTTATTTTCTATCAGTAGCTATTCTTTAGCTTTCTTCCAAATAGTGCCAAAATTTATTCATAGAGCTGTACATTTTCTTCGGTTTAAGGAATTGAGTTACTTTTTGGATCATAAATTGACAAAAAGGCAGCAATACTTATAAAATATATACATATAAATCTCACATCCGTAGGTATCTTATCTCAAATAAATAGGGACCCTATGTGTGGAAAGGGATTCTCTAGAAAATGTTGCTGAATTATAATGGATGAAATACCCATAGTGCATAATAATTTTAACCAGGAAAAAACAATTCCCCTGAAGGAAATTTGTGAAGCATCATTTATTATTGTTATTAACTTATTTATTCCCTCAACAAATTAATACTGAACACTTACCATGTGTCAGGCACTATTGTCAAAGATGAATAAAGCCAGACACTAGTTAAAGTGGTAAGGACAGATTTTAATCAGTAATATACTGACTTTACATAAATATATTTTGATTTGTGCAGAGGTGACCGGGTGTTTGTTTTAAGGGGGGGATGAAGGAGTAGAGAGGGGAAACAGTGGGGGCTTGAACACAGTCAGGCAAGTGAAAAATTGCAGAGGGTTGGTCCATGGAAATGCAGTGAGCCCAGGTGTGTCTGCTCGCTGGCAAAAATCGGAGTTAGGCTTCTATCCTCCCATACTGACTGGGAGAGAGAGGTCCTATCCTTCCTGATGATTACTTTTCAAATGGTTTTCAGGTGCTTGAGAAAAGACACTCCTGAGTTATAGGAGATACATGTACATCTCAAAGGGAGAGAGGAAGGATTCACGATTGCAAGCTCTTTTTATTAATGCTCTAAGAGTGCTCAGGAGCCTACCTTTAGGTGTTGGCTAGAGCAAACAGTAAATTCTTTTGGTGGCCTGGAATTTTTGTTTCAAGCAAGCAGTTTAAGGGGGCCTAAGGCCATCTTAGGGATAGAACCTTGAGCTGTTAGAAATTATGTTGTTGTTGGTTCAAGTCTTTAAATGGGGGAGGTAGGGGGAGATGGATGAGATAATTTGTGCTGAGAGTTTGCAGTTTTTATAGGTGAAGGCTCAGTGGAGGGAAAGGGCTCAGAGGAGCCTGACTAGAGTTTGGTCAAGGAGAGAATCATCATTTGTCAGTGTACTAGGAAGAAAGACAAGATTACTGACTCTCCTGCTACTTTCCACTTAGGAGAAGGGGATGTGTGACAGGGAACACGGAAACAAATAAATGAGATCATTATAGATTGGAGTAAGTGCCTTTAAAGAAATAA